GTCCCGGATCACCCCGGTCGGAAAATCTTCGGGAAAGGCCTTCGCCCTTCCCAAGGACTTTCCCTTACCAATAAATACGAGGACCTCTCGACCGAGAGAAGTCAGTTAGCAAGTTTTCCTCCGACTCTCAACGTGTTCATTTTTCTGTCTCATCCGTCACTCGTTTACCTTTACCTTCTACACACTGTACCTCATCGCCTTTTGTTACAAGTTATATTAAAGTTCTCGTTATATAAAAACCAAAAAAACTCTCTCGGATTATTTTACATAAACCGTCGCAGTAACCCCTGCGACAAAATTTCACTGATATTTTCTTTCGGCCGATATACATACCTTCTTGGTACGTTGCCTTTAATATTTCATGTGTTAAAAATCTAATGTAATAAAAAAAAAGTAATTTTCCCGTTGATTCTGTTCACAGGAGAGGACGTCCGCGGCGCCGAGTGTCCAGAGGACAGCGTCACAGACGAGAACGGCGGTTGCAAATGCGCGCCGGATTGTCCGACGACGATATGTCTACCGGGTGAACATCCGGTCGAGGTGAAACCCGCGGACCCACGAACGCCTGGAAGCTGTTGCGCCCAATACGACTGCGTTCCAACGGGTAAGAATTCGCGGTATTTGTCGCGATAAAGATCGCGGCACAGTTTTCTGTTTTCGGTCCACGCGCACCACGACGCGATCGATCATCCATGGGAACTAGTTTGCCCGTGAAACACCCTTAACCCTTTGACCGCGGCGTACTCTCGGATAGAAGCATCGACACGAACGAAGCGAAATATTATAGTCAGATCAGTCTCGCATTTCATGATTATCATATATCATATTATATGATAATATATTATTATAATAATTTTTTTTTATATGACAATACATTATTATAATAATATTATATGACAATACATTATTATAATAATACTATATGACAATATATTATTATAATAATATTATATGACAATATATTATTATAATAATATTATATAACAATATATTATTATAATATATTAATCGCGCATTACAATGATAATCGTAAAGGAATTCGATATTGATAATCGTTATCTTATCTCTTTCTTTTTTGTTCTCTTTTTTTCTTAAACTCTTAACTCTTTAACTCTAGTCATTCTAAACCTTTGTACTTTTTATTCTCTCTTTTTAATAATTTTATAACTAATGAGTAACTTCTCGTATACATTCAATGAATGAATAAATAATGAATAACAAGCTTCATTTAAAATTCAAAAAAAAGAAAACAGAATGTAAAGGGCGTATATTTTCGTTTTCCAAGGACATCGGCACATTTGCGAGGACGTGTACACAGGGTGTTCAAGAGTAACGATCGCGCCAATTTTTTAGGCGTTTAAGCTAATCTGGCAAAGAAATGTTTGGAACAAAAGTTAACGCGTTCCTCGAGGAAAACAAATTGCAACGATAAAAATTTCTAAAAATCCTTTACTCGATGAAAAACGACGGTCACCTTGACTTTCTCAAATGGAAGTATGCACTTTTGACAGTACAGTGTTATAGCTGGCGAAGAGACGTATTCAACGACTTGCCGCGCAGTGACCTTCGAATGACCTTCAGCTTAGAGAAATTCGCGCAGCAATTGAGAAAACAACTTTGCTGCGCGTTAATGAAACGTACGCGCGTGACTCAAGAGCCAAGGATATACTTCGAAGAGGAATGTAAACAGCGAACGTACATCTTTCATCTCTTATTTACTGTGCAGATTAGTATAGTAAGGTCGCTGTATGGCAAGTCGTTGAATTCGCCTCTTCGCCAGCTATAACGCTACACCGTCGAACATACACGGTGCCATTTAAGAAAGTCAAGGCGACCATAGTTTTTCATCGAGCAACAGATTTTTTGAAATTTTTATTATCGCAATCTGTTCACCTCAAAGAACGCGTTCACTTCTATTCCAAACATTATTTTATCGGATCAGCGCAAATGTCTGAAAAATCGGCGCGAACGTTGCGCCGAACACTCTTCTATACGTATTTCGCAGCAAAAGGGTTAACCTTTTAGGCACGACACGCCACTATAGTGGCTTCCGCGGATGTCATACCTCTGGACGACGCGCCACTATAGTGGCTTGCTCTAGTAGCTCACTCGCTCATCGTTTGAACCAAATAATCGTCTTCATATGCATTGTTTCACACTTCTTTTGTCTTCGCATCGATTTACAACAGTCTACAGGGTGTCCCAAAAATGTCTCGCAATCCGGAAATGGCGGGTTCCTCGGATCGTTTGAAGCAACTTCCTCCTTTACAAAAATGTTCTCCGAGGCGCCGTTAACGAGTTATTAACGAAAAGCAGTGACCAATAAGAATCGAGTACGGCTGACGCGAGGCGGCCCAGCCAACCAGCGCGCGAAGCCCAGTTCCGCTCATTGGCTCGGTCGCCTCGCGCCAGCCGAGCTCGCCTCTCATTGGTCACTGTTTTTCGTTAATAACTCGTTAACGGTGCCTCGGGGAAAATTTTTGTAAAGGAAAAAGTTGCTTCGAATGGCCTGAGGAACCCGCCACTTTCGGATTGCGAGACATTTTTGGGACATCCTGTAGTTACAAACAGAATATACAGTATCAGACTCTGTCGTCCAGAGAAATAGCCTCGCGCAGAATTCAGCCGTACCTAAAAGGTTAAAATGACTCGGCGACTTCGAACGTTGGGTGCCGCGATCCCAGAGACACCCGGTAGCTGTTGCGCTCTCTCACGACTCGAAACCCTCAGGTAATTACGAAAAGTCGTAATCGGGCTCGCTTCTATGCGTCCAGCACAGCAGCTGGTCGATATCTCGAATTTCTACGCTGCCCTGGACGTCCACCCTTCGTTTTCCCCGGCTCCGTATCTCTTCGTCTCCCTCCGTCTCGTTTTTCCCGGCATCCTCGGCCGCGGCGCCGTTGACCGCTGTCCCTTTTCCATTCACCGTTCCAGTTCACCGTTCACCGTTTCCCGACTCCTTTGCTGCTACACGCGGCGCGGTTATCGCTATTTCCGCCCTCTATTCCTCGATCGCGAGGCATCCGCGACAGGAATAGGGTAAGCGCGGGTGTATCACTGCGGACGCTCTAAATACTGCGGCATTAAATGATACAATGTTAATAGAGATACAATAATAATACAAAAATAATAGCGATACGATATATTGTCCGGCGACATTTAGAGAGACATTACTGTACGACAAATTCTCCCTAATTGACACTCAGTTTGGAAACCAAAAAAAAAAGAACGATTTGGGAAGAAAAGGTACGATTATCGTATTCTCTTCTTTCCAAATTGCCCTTTTTTGTTTCCAAGCTGAGCCTCAATTAGGGACGTACAGTAATGTACAGAGTAATTTTTCCCTAAATTTCGCCGGGTCGGAATCGCAACCAATGTCTCCCTAAATGACGTAGTTTTGGTCTGCCACGAATGACGCTGCGATATAGTAAATTCTCTCTAATTGAAGCACGGTTTGGAAGCAAAAATGGGGAATTCGGGAAGAGACGGATTATCGTATTCTCCTCTTTCCAAATTGTCCTTTTCTGTTTCCAAATTGAGCGTCGATTAGGGAGAATTTACCGTACAGTAATATCTCTCTAAATGTCGCCGGATCGGAATTGTAGCCAATGTCTCCCTCTAAATGACGTAATTGTGTTGTTGACAATCGGTAACTATAAAAACTTCTTCTTCTTCTTGTTTTTCCCAAATTGTCCATTATTTTTGTGCAGTTACTCGAGCCTCGATTAGGGAGAATTTACTGTACAGTAATCTCTCTCTAAATGTCGTCGGCTCGGAATTGCAACCAGTGTCTCCCAAAATCACACAATTTTGTCGTTGACAATCGGTAACTATAAAAACTTCTTCATCTTCTTCTCCTTTTCCCCAAATTATCCATTATCTTCGCGCAGTCAGCCGAGCGTCAATTAGGGAGAATTTACTGTACCTCTCTCGTGAACTCGACCGACCGATAACCGAGCCCCGATTCTCGGGGCCACGCCGAAATCGCATAAATACGTAGACGGTACACGTATCCACCCCCTAAAGGGTTTCCGTGTAGATTACGGTCGGCGCCGAGGGATTTGGTCGTCGGGACAGGTAGGACGCAGCTCGCTTAACAACCGTCCCGATCGACGCCCGCGCTTCTAATTGTTCCCCAGGTGGGCCGAGCGACCTTTATTAAATTTCGAAACGGACGCTATCGGGTGTCGAGCGACGTCGAGCGGCGCGGCGCGCGGCGTCGCACGCGCGCGCAAACCTCTCGTGAACGCGTTCGCGGGATAAGAATGGGCTCGTTAAAATTCAACAGGTAAATCGAGAGTTTGCGCCCGGCCGACTCGCGCCGACTCGAAACTTAAAAAGCTTCTTTTCCCCGACCGCCGGCGAGGATCAGCCGGAGGCTTTATCGTTGATTACAATCGAGGCGACTCGAATTCGCGATGCCGGCGCGCGTCGTTGGCCGGCTCTATTTTTATCTCGGCGAAAACTCTAGCTTTTTCGACATACTCGAGGCACGGACGCTTCTAAATATATTGCAAATTCTCCCGAAATTGTTCCTCGGCTTGTAAACGAATCTGTAAACGATTTGGGAAGAGGCGATACGATTTTTGTGGTCGTCGATTTTGTCAACGACTGTAAGAAGAAAAAGAGAAACGAGCTGCGAGCCTCGAGTAGTCGTGTCTCCTCTTCCCGAATTGTCAATTTTTGTTTGCAAGCCGTGGGACAATTTGAGGGAATTTGCTGCGAGTAGGAAAATTCGATCGCGCGAGTGTAGGCATTACTGCGGTTTCTCGACGAAGGCGAACTTTCACAGAGAAGATAAGACCTTTTACGACGATAAATCGACAACTCGAGCTGCACCTATTACAGTAAATTCTCCCTAATTGAATCTCGAGTAACTGCACAAAAATAATGGACAATTTGGCAAAAACAAGAAGAAGAAGAATTTTGTATAGTTACCGATTGTCAACAACAAAATTACGTCAGTTAGAGGGAGACATTGGCTACAATTCCGATCCGGCGACATTTAGAGAGATATTACTGTACGGTAAATTCTCCCTAATCGACGCTCAGTTTGGAAACAGAAAAGGACAATTTGCAAAGAGGAGGATACGATAATCCGTCTCTACCCGAATTCCCCATTTTTGCTTGCAAACCGAGCATCAATTATAGAGAATTTACTACATCGCAGCGTCGTTCGTGGCAGACCAAAATCACGTCATTTAGGGAGACATTGGTCGCGATTCCGACCCGGCGAAATTTAGGGAAAAATTGCTGTACATTACCGTATGCCCCTAATTGACGCTCAGCTTGGAAACAGAAAAGGACAATTTGCAATGAGGAGAATACGATAATCGTACCTTTTCTTCCCAAATCGTTTTTTTTTTGTTTCCAAACTGAGTGTCAATTAGGGAGAATTTATAATCCGTCTCTTCCCGAATTCCCCATTTTTGTTTCCAAACCGAGCTTCAATTATAGAGAATTTACTATATCGCAGCGTCGTTCGTGGCAGACCAAAATCACGTCATTTAGGGAGACATTGGTCGCGATTCCAACTCGGCGATATTTAGGGAAAAATTACTGTACGTCCCTAATTGAGGCTCAGTTTGGAAACAAAAAATTACAATTTGCAAAGAGGAGAATACGATAATCCGTCTCTACCCGAATTCCCCATGTTTGCTTGCAAACCGAGCATCAATTATAGAGAATTTACTATATCGCAGCGTCGTTCGTGGCAGACCAAAATCACGTCATTTAGGGAGACATTGGTCGCGATTCCGACTCGGCGATATTTAGGGAAAAATTACTGTACGTCCCTAATTGACGCTCAGCTTGGAAACAAAAAAGGACAATTTGCAAAGAGGAGAATACGATAATCCGTCTCTACCCGAATTCCCCATGTTTGCTTGCAAACCGAGCATCAATTATAGAGAATTTACTATATCGCAGCGTCGTTCGTGGCAGACCAAAATCACGTCATTTAGGGAGACATTGGTCGCGATTCCGACCCGGCGAAATTTAGGGAAAAATTGCTGTACATTACCGTATGCCCCTAATTGACGCTCAGCTTGGAAACAGAAAAGGACAATTTGCAATGAGGAGAATACGATAATCGTACCTTTTCTTCCCAAATCGTTTTTTTTTTGTTTCCAAACTGAGTGTCAATTAGGGAGAATTTATAATCCGTCTCTTCCCGAATTCCCCATTTTTGTTTGCAAACCGAGCTTCAATTATAGAGAATTTACTATATCGCAGCGTCATTCGTGGCAGACCAAAATCACGTCATTTAGGGAGACATTGGTCGCGATTCCGACTCGGCGATATTTAGGGAAAAATTACTGTACGTCCCTAATTGACGCTCAGCTTGGAAACAAAAAAGGACAATTTGCAAAGAGGAGAATACGATAATCCGTCTCTACCCGAATTCCCCATGTTTGCTTGCAAACCGAGCATCAATTATAGAGAATTTACTACATCGCAGCGTCATTCGTGGCAGACCAAAATCACGTCATTTAGGGAGACATTGGTCGCGATTCCGACTCGGCGATATTTAGGGAAAAATTACTGTACGTCCCTAATTGACGCTCAGCTTGGAAACAAAAAAGGACAATTTGCAAAGAGGAGAATACGATAATCCGTCTCTACCCGAATTCCCCATGTTTGCTTGCAAACCGAGCATCAATTATAGAGAATTTACTACATCGCAGCGTCATTCGTGGCAGACCAAAATCACGTCATTTCGGGAGACATTTATCGTAAACACATTCCGTTCGATGTTACAGCGACAACGAAGAAGTCGGCGAGATACTGTATCCACGAGCACAAAGCGAAGAAGCCCGGCGAACAATGGCAGCAGTCGGATTGCGTGCACTGCGTCTGCGAGGAGGAGGAGGTGATCATCACCTGTCTGGAGACGATGTGCAAAGCGTGCGAGAACGCGATCGCCCCGAAACCGGGCGAGTGCTGTCCCCATTGTCCGATCCCGACGAACGCGTCCCTCGCGGAGCCGAAGTCCCCTTGCCAGACGGCGATGGATGGTTGCTCGATCAACTGCGAACACGGATACGAGACGGACGAAAACAATTGTCCCGTTTGCAGCTGCGTCACCGACAAGGTACGAACACGATTCGATTTCGATCGACGCTCGATCGTCGAACGGAATTGGCTGCGGCGCGGCGGCGGGTTTGCGCTCCGTTACCGGGCGCACAGTACCGCCGAACCAAGAGATCGTCGCGATCGTTGTCCGTTATCGTTCTTTCGACGAGATCGCCACCGTCTCCGACGTGGATCGCAGTCGCTGACGCGTTCTCGATTCCAGGTGACCGACGAGGAGGCGTCCACCGAGCAGTCGACCGTCGTGCCGGATTCGTGTCTGCCCGTGCCGTTCTGCGAGCCGAGCTGCGACCTCGCCAGGGACGAGGAGGGCTGCCCGGTTTGCAGCTGCCAGATTCCCCAGGCCTTCGACGAGCCCACGAACGAGACGGTCGTGATCGACGAGACCGGCAAGAAGATCTGCCCGGAAGTGAAGTGCGACCTCCACTGCGAGCGGGGGTTGCTCATGGACGAGAACGACTGCACGTTCTGCAAGTGCAGGGCCCCGGAGTCCGACTGTCCGCCCCTGGTCGGCTGCAGGAAACGTTGCACCTACGGATACAAGACGAACAGACGCGGTTGTTCCGTGAGTAGACGGATGGATGGCCGAGTTATTGACCTATTTTACGTCGAGAAATGATTGGTTCTGCAGATATTCGGTATTGTTTTCCGGGCGAGGATACATTTGTTCGTCGTGAAAAGCTTAGTGGTACGTAATACGTATGCGTTTTCTGGCACGGCGAAATCTGCGATATCGAAGTTCGAATGTCCGCTGATCTGATCAATTCTCGACGTACGTATGGATTAATACCTTTTTGTAGGAAATGTCGAGCTGCTGTCGATTAATGTTTAAAAATATATACGATTAATTATATAATACAATTAATAATATTATAATATAATATATATAATCAACTATATATATTATTAATTATATATATAATAATATATTTTATATTATATATATTTATTATTTATTTATTTAATTTATATTATTATTTGTTATTATATTATATTATATTTATATTATATATTATATTATATTTTCATTTTGTATGATTATTTTTATTTATTCTTTGACAATTTATCAAATGCAGACAAATTTAATAGTGTGAAAATTCTTTTGAAAATAGTGCAGCAATTTTTAGCGTCCGAATCGCCACTCGAGTGCAAAGGGTTAATACCCTCCCAGACGATAGAGTGTTAAGATGTGTATACCACACACACACACGCAAGGCCAAGAGTCAGAGTAATAGAAAGGCCTGAAAATCTTGATACCTTTTAACTCGATGCCATTTTGGCAACACCGATATTTCGGTGTCTTGGTATTTCTTTATCGCCTTCTTTATCCGTTTCTTTATCTTCTCCTCGCAGATATGTCGGTGTAAAGCTTCCTGCACCGATCGCCTGAACACTACGCATCCCGAAGGATCGACCTGGCACCCTAACGCGTGCACCTCGTGCACCTGCCAAACCGGAGGTCGGCTCAGCTGCAGAGAAACGATCTGCTCGGTCGCTTGCAGCGACCCCTCGCCGCCCAAGCCCGGAACCTGCTGTCCGATCTGCCCGATCGCGGTAAGCTCGACCGAGTCCTTGCTTCGCTGCCTACCTTACCGGCTTACCTACAGCGGCTCTTATTAATATTCGGATACCTTTTAAAACAGAATAACTGTTTTAAGACTGGACCAAAAGACTCGAATTCTTTTTTAGACGATAGCAGCACCGGTCTGTTAGACAGTTGCTAGAATGCTTTTCTTAATTTTGCTTATTGCTTGAAGTGACAGAAGAAAATAAAAAGAACTCGCATTTAAAGGAACTTTAAAGATTTTATTTATTTGAAGTTTTGTTTATTTATTATTTAAAAGAACTTTGAAGGAACTCTAAAGGAACTTTAAAGGAGCTCTAAAGGAACTTCAAAGGAACTCTAAAGGATCTTTAAAGTCTCTCTAAAAGAACTCTAAAGGATCTTTAAAGTCTCTCTAAAAGAACTCTAAAGGAACTTTAAAGGAACTCTAAAGGGACTTTAAAGTTTCGAGCTCTAAAGGAACTTTAAAGTTTCTCTAAAGGAACTTTAAAGTCTCTCTAAAGGAACCTTAAAGTCTCTTTAAAGGAACTCTAAAGTCTCTCTAAAGCAACTCTAAAGGAACTTTAAAGTCTCGAGCTCTAAAGGAACTCTAAAGGTACTTTAAACTCTCTCTCTAAAGTCTCTCTAAAGTCTCTCTAAAGTATCTCTAGAGGAACTTTAAAGCAACTCAAGCCGAGCGCTGAACATTTCACCGAAATCGCAATATTAAATAAGAAACCGCCGTATCATTATACAATCGATATTCATTCGTTTAATTAATTCCACAGCCCTCGAAGGAGAACGATGCGGCCGGTCACCACGGCACGAGGGGCTGGGGCACCGCGCCGATCACCCTGATCGCGATACTGACGTTGCTGTGCCTGCTTCTGATCGTGCACATCGTCCGCAGCCGATTCCGCGGCAGACTCTCGCCCTCCGAGACCACGACCTGCTCGTCCTGTCCGCCGCAGTACTACAAATACGTTCCGGCGTACGACACACCGACGCACCGGCACGAGAAGATCGTACCGTTGTAGAAGACTGGAAAGGTCGCGGACGTGTCGGGGAAAGAGGAACAACAGGAAGAACAGGAGGAGGAACGGCAACGGCAGGAACAAGAACGCGAGGACGTGGACGCGCGCGTTCGTCGTCGACGGGACGGCGAGGTGCGGCGTGCGACGATCGGAAACGTGGAACGGGCCGACGGGAACCGATCGCGCGGGCATCCTTCCACCGGTTGTGTCGTGCCACGCGTAGCTTCAGTATTATTCGTAAGATAGCAGACGGCGTTGCGACTCGAATAGGGAAGAGAGCGAGAGAGAGAGAGAGAGAGAGAGAGAGAGAGAGGAGAACGACGTCGGAACGAAGGGCGACGGACGAGGCTCGCGGCGCGGCCGCCGTCGCCGCGACGTCCCCGCCGGGCCCGATTCGACGTCGAACAGAGAGTTCGCGGCGAGCGATTCGCCCGGCTGAACGCAAGAAGCGAACTAGTCGTTGTTAGTTGCGGCGTTTACGCGCAACCCGGCGTTTACGCGAGTCCCGTTGTAACCTGTAAATTCTAATGTAAAAGCTCCCTAGCGTTAACTACCGCGACGATGTAAGAGTATAAATGTACTAAGAATAAGCAAACTGTGCTAGAGGCCCACCCAGTCACCGAGAACCGTAGAAGAAAAAGGGAGAGAGAGAGAGAGAGAGAGAGAGAGAGAGAGAGAGAGAGAGAGACAGAGGCGGACAGACAGACGGACAGACGGACGGACAGACACAGACGTGTCTCGCGACGGTAGCATTAGTTTCCTCGATCTCTGGACCATCGATGTTGTTTCGCGTCGCTTTCGGCCGTCGCGTGAACCCGCGACCGCGACCGCGACGATTCCGTAGAAGACTTCCGGGACGATCGGAGGGTGTCGTCGATCGCGGCTTTGCTTGCGATCGTAGATTTAAAAAAGTACATAGTTTTGCGTGGCCGATCGGAGCTTCGTTTCCGATCGCGTTCCCGTCGAACGACGATGCGATGGATGAACCGTGTCGTCGGGGTGGAAACCCGTTCCCACGTTTCGCGCGCCCCACCTCTTCGAACAGCAGCCCGACTTTTTATTTAGAAGAATTCCCACGAAACGGATACTTCGTACAGCGCGCGATCGACGGTCGAAGAATCGCCGGTTGAGACGGTTGAGAGAGCTTCCCGTCCCGACGTATTCTATTTATTTTTTATTTATTCTCATTTCTATTCATTTGTTCTCATTTATTTTCGGCTTTACTTCTCGCGTTGGCAAAACACCGCTTAAGTGGACGACGACGTTGAATGAATTTCGTTGAACGATGCAATTTCCTTATTTTTTTGTTTACGCGTCGAATCGTGGTCGACGCGATATATATATATATATATAATAATATTATATATATTATATAATATAATATAATATAATAATAATATATAATAATATTATATATATTATATAATATAATATAATATAATAATAATATATAATAATATTATATTATATTATACATATATATATTATATAAATATTAATCGCATCGAGAGTCGCGCCGTTTCGTTTAAATTTATCAATGTAACTCGTACTCCGGGTTTCAATTCCGCGCGCGCGCGCGCGCCTATGTATGTACATATCCGCGATTCTATCCTGTAATCCCGAAACAAGCCGCGGTTGGTTCTTATGGAGGGGGGGAGAAGGGGGTCGAGCCTACGCGCGTCGTACTTGCAATCGCATCGTTCGTCCGCTGCTTCTTTAGACGCAGGTTCGTGAATCGCGACGTGCCGACACTGTAATATAGCATATCGTTGACAAAAATGCAGAACGACTGGGAAAAGAAATATGAGCGTGTGTGGGCGTGTGTGCGCGTTACCGAGCGCGACAAGATGTACCGCGACTGCCCAAAGGCAGAGGGGATGATTCCATTGGAGAAACGAAACGCGAGAAAGTTTGATCGCAGTTCGCGGTCCGATCGGGTCATCGTCTAGCCCATAAAGTAGTTCCCAAGCTTCTCGCGACGCGCCGCCACTGTTCTAAATCGGAAGTACAGTAATGTCTCCCTTACTGACGCTCAGATTGTCCACAAAAATGGGCAATTTAGGGAGAAGAGAGACGATTATTGGAGCCTTTCGGTTTTTGTTTTTATAGTTATAAATTGTCAACAATTATAAAATCGAGCCGCAAGGCTCGGACGATCGTATCTCCTCTTCCCAAATTGTCCACTATTTGTGGACAATCTGAGCGTCAGTAAGGGAGACATTACTGTAACCTAGCGACCAGCGATGGGAAACTATGGCCTAGGCGATTAAACGCGCGAAAGATTGCTCGCGCGTTTCGACTCGTGTGTCGCGTTGCCCCGTTGTCCCGTCGCTCTACAGGGTGTCCCAAATATGTCTCGCGATCCGGAAATGGGGGGATCCTGACGTCATTTAAAGTAACTTTTTCCTTAGCAAAAATGCAGCCCGCGGCTTCGTTTACGAGTTATTAAACGAAAAACAGTGACCAATGAGCTGAACTGGGCTTCGTGCGCTTGTTAGCTGGGCGCCAACCGTGCTCGCCTCTCATTGGTCACTGTTTTTCGTTTAATAACTCGTAAACAGAGTCGCGGATTGCGTTTTCGCTGAGGAAAAAGTTACTTCAAACGATCCCCTGAACCCTGCATTTCCGGATCACGAGACATTTTTGGGACACCCGCTGTATTATCCCGTTCACCCTTCGCAAATTGATCGACCGGTTGCGAACGTTAACCATACATATCCACGTAGAAGGAAATCAACCCCGTCTAAGCGTCCCTCCTCTTCTGTATTATAACGCGTACATATATTTTTTCAATGTGACACTCTTGTCTTAACGTACGTCTTGTGTAGCCTACTGTCGACTACTATCGTCCACTCCCTTTCCTCTGAAATTGTCTAATGTCGTCTAACGAGAAAAAAAAAGAAGAAACAAAGAGCATGATAATAAGTCTCCTGTCGCCGTAGATCTTGCGAAATCGGGCAACACCGGTGCGATTCGCGCCCAGCGGCAAATAGCGGCCGCTCGTTCACATCTGTCCCGGCAAATAAGTCACGCTCGACCCGAAGCGCGAGCGCGTACTTGTGTGTGTGTGTATGTATCTCTCGTGCAAACGATACAGTTTGTTCGCTGACGACAAAACGGCGGGCAGCGTTCCGTACGCATACCTTTGGTGACAATATGTATTTTAACGACACGCTCGTTTCTCGCTCGTTTCTCGCACGTTTCTCGAATTTCTGGTGACCGTGCACGATTTGGACGGCGGCACGCCGACGACGACCAGGCCTCTGGTTGAATTTTCATGGGAAAGGAGAAAGGGTCGGAACGAGAAATTGGTGGGCGGTGTGTCGAAGGACAGCCACCTGTCCCTTGTCATCGAGTAGAAAAAACGCGGAAGCGCCAATCGCGATCGGCTAAATACCGATACGAAGGAAAAATTGGTTTCCATTGGCGCAACGAGAAACAGAGTCCGGAACAGAACGGAATGGACAACAATGTACGAACAATGATCAAAACGTAGGGCCGAGTAGCCGCGCGAACACCGAGAAACAAACAGTGTCGTGCATGCGAGTTCTTTGTACAGTTTCACCGTAACAAAAAATCATATCAGTGTAACCTAGACTTATTTAATATGTGCGAATACGTATGCATACTCAAACTGTGCGTCGTGTTTAAGGATAGCTCTTGTATGTTACAGAAAACGAGACTAAATAAAATTGTTGATACGTGAGATACGTCGTACGCTTCTGTTTTGCCTTTTTTTCCGATCCCGTTTCCGGCGGCATTCTACTTCTGAGTTTCTTCAGCGCCACGAAACTCGTAAGATAACGATTAACTTGGCTCGCCTCTCATTGGTCACTTTTCGGCCAAAAACTGAGTCAAGTGAGATTTTACAGCGCGTCATCATCGTTAAAAGTTTTACCACGAAGGGAGTTGTCCAGGGATCGAAATAAGTGGTAATCCGATGGCGCGAGATCGGGGCTATATGGCGGGTGTAACATCAATTCCCAACCAATATCCATCAATTTTTGCCGAGTGGACAAAGACGTGTGCGGCCTAGCATTGTCCTGCTGGAAAATGACACCTTTACGATTGACCAATTCTGGTCGCTTTTCCTTGACCGCTGCATTCAATTTGTCCAGTTGCTAACATTCACGGATAATAAAAAATAACATAATAACAATAATAATAATAATAATTTTATAATATAACATTTACGAATATCATAAAAATGGGAGTGAGAGACATCTATAACTAAAATCGGCAATTACTTAGTTGCCAACCCAATAATAATATAAATTAGAGGAGCTAGGGTAGTCACGTGACTTTACGGATTCAGCAGGTTAGTTGTACAGATTTCGTTACATAAATAGTATTATCTAGAACTGTGTTACTGCTTGATAAACACGAGATGGAGCCATCAGCGTTTTCTATCGGGAATAAAAAAGAAACTCAATTCAAATAGAAATATTCTCTCGATCGAGAAATGCAGCGACATTTTCTTATAACTTTTGAACCGTTGCAGAAATTTTGCTTCTTTTGGAGAAAAAATTAAGCTCCGTTCGATGTTTGTACAGCGCCAATTGGTGCAGTGGCAAAACGCTCAAACTGTTATCCAAATTCGATCGTTGGTAATTCGGTGTAATTCTCCCTCTTTCTTTTTCTCTCTCTCTTTCTCTCTCTCTCTCTCTCTCTCTCTCTCTCTCTCTCTCTATCTCTCTTGGAGTTGGATAGTTGGACAGCCTGAATACTTCCGATCGTTTCCGACCGCTTCCGACTCCCTGACATCTCGAATAATCGTAAAATTTCATCGGATTCATTTTTTGTGAGAATTCGTGTGAAATCTGTTGATCGTCGCATAAGCTTGTATCTATCGGACTCTATATCAGCAGTGGAAGTCAAGATGTTTATTAAACCTTTCAAAATTAAGTCTAATAATCAATTGAAAGGTACCGAGAGGTTAGTACAACATAACGTCATCTAAACAAGTACGATAACGTATATTTATTTCATAAATGCGGCTTTCTGGAATTCGTTGAAATTAAATAAATATTGCGATATTGTCATCGACTAATAAGCGATATTCAAGTACATGTTACGTTTCCCTGTTGTTCTGAATTAGGAAAAAATTGTGCCAAGATATTTTAGCGGCGTATCCAATTCTGACAGACGAGGAAGTACAGTCATTAATTCCCAAAAAGGAGGCAATCAGTGTCATGAAAATCACAACTCACAGTGGACACTTGGGCAAATTATACTGCGTTGCCAAAATACCCATGTTTTTCCAAGTCGACAATATACATCACCCTCTGTTGCCGACCATATACAGCTTATGGCATCATCCAAACTTGTTAACAATCTTCACAACAAGACATCCGGTGATCTCGAAGTTAGCAAGCGGAGCGGATTTAATGTTGCCTGGAGTGGTTGTCAAAGAACCGGTGACCTTGTACTCTTTCGGTAAACTGCCAAAGGGTACGCCGGTTTCGGTAGATACGGACGACAACAAGGTTCGTTGATGCAGTCGAAGCTTATTACTCGATAGCGATAAACATTGGCACCTTTATATTATTCAGGCATCGGTTGCTGTTGGTATTACCGCGTTATCCAGCGAGGACATGTACATGTCCGGTGGTTATGGAAAATGCATAGAAATACTGCATGCGATAGGAGACACGCTTTGCCAATTGGGAAAACCACCTGCAAGACCAAACATGGGACCATCCCTAACTACCGATGTTGATAAATTAGAGAACGCCGAACAAGATACCGACCAAGCCAATAAAAGCAACGATAACTGGCTTGTCGACACGATGAATGATTTACGAGTGTCCGAGGAGAACCTAACACACGAATCTGCAGGAGAGGTAATTTACAATATATACATAGTAACGGTCAACAGATTTTGCTAAAGCTATTATCATAAATATAGGAAAATGCAGAAGATAACGCGGAAGAATCCGCGGATACTGAAATCGTTGTCCTAGAAGAACCGGTGGAAACTTCCGAGGCAGCATTAGACCCGGTACAAGAAATGGACAATTTGTTAGAATATTGTTTTTTGAAAGCTTGCAAGAGGTCCGTAAAGTCCAGCGATTTGCCGATGTTAGTATCGAATTTTTTCAAAAATCATTTGATGGCGGCGTGTCCACCCGATAAGAACATAGACATAAAAAAGTCCCGATATAAAAAGCTGTCGGTGTTCTTAGCGGAGATGAAAGCGAGAGGTGTTATCAATACTTCTATCACAAAAGGCGTTGAGAGTCTGTTGTCGATTAAGGTAATGTCGTTGCACCGGGAGAGTCTGCCTGGAGTACCAAGGTCCGAAGATTCGAACGATAGAAGCGGTTGATAATTCTGATAATCGTTTGTTACAGTTCGATCACGCGTTGATAAGGAGATTGGTGATTTTAGAGGAACCTGCGCCAGTTGAACCGGTCGTGTCGAACACAGCGGTGGTCTCGGAGTGTTACAAAGTAACCGCGGACGTCGTGCCGATATTGTCAAAATTCGGATACGAGTGAGTATGCTGCGTCACGGATGGACGCCTAGGGAGACACATCGTTTTGACCGCGATACAATAATTGCAGAGAGAATGATTTTCTGTGCAGAGCGAAAGTCTACAACCGTTACATCATATACCATTATGCTGTATTATATGATACGAATTATGTACATTTTACTCCCATACGATGATTGCAGAAAAGGGGACGTAATGAAAAGAGCTGAGATCAGAAAATGTTTCACTGAATACGTGAAAAATGAGAACCTACAGGACGGAAAGTGAGCACAACACTTTTGTACAATTGGCAAACGTGGTCGTTCGTACGTTGGCGCGATCGTGTAACTCGTTCTTTCCGCAGGATATTGAAATTAAACCCGCAACTCGCAGGTATCATGAAAACCAAAGCGGACCAGGTCACCGTCACGATGGAGGACGGAATAAACAAATTCATAGGGCGTATGACGCACATGCACGAAGTTATGCTAGCCGGGAACAAGCTGTTGCACACGGGCAAGTTGGAGCCCATCGATATGAGGGTTACGGTTCGTTCCGGTGGGAAAAAGGTGTATATCGTATATCGGTGAATAACGATTCGATTGATTCGATATAGATAAATTAATGTCGCGTGTTTTTGTTACACGAAAGGTGACGCTGGTAAATAACTTGGAGACTTTTGGAATAAACCCGAAAGACTTTAGCAAAGAGTGCCAAAACATAGGCGCCAGCGCAACGATCACGGATGAACCGGGAAAGAAAACTCCTAGCGTTCTCGTTCAAGGAAATCAAATCCTATACGTGTACAAATTACTCACCGGTAATTAGAACACGCTTGTAATACGTAGAGGCAGTAAACACGTCTTTACTACTGTTCGCGAAACGAATAATCACGCCATCTTGGTCTCCAGTAAATATCTCTGTTTGTTCCAGAAAAATATCAAATCAAGAAGAATTATATAAGGGGGCTGGAATTCGCGCCAAAAAAGCCAGGCGCGCATAAAAAGTAGATGGACGATTGCTGCTGAAATGTTGCGGTTCTCTCAGTCACTTCGATATTTGTACAAAACGACGAAAATAAGAAGGTTACACTTACCTTTTCAAGAACTTCTCCGCTGTTGCGGAGATCGCGTCTGCAAGCGGTTGCTGTCGTTACACAATGTCTTCTTCGTAAAAAGATTTTGCATTATTCGTTCAATTTGAATTCTAGAGATAAAACGTAAAACACACAACCCCGTATCTCACGATTGTCCGATTGGCACACGGCGTGCTCACGAATAAATATGTTCTTAACGACAGATAAAGTTTAATGTCTCTCGCTCTACCTTTTCCCTTGTAAGCAGAAAAGTATTCTCGATGTAGATCGATCGGAGTATCCCAAGATTCTTAACGAAAACAAAAATCTCGAGACGACGGTATTGCATATACATTATGTTCCAAGATTATGATACTTGCGGAAAATGAGGAATTCCTGAGGTTATTTGAAGCAACTTTTTCCTCGGCGAAAATACGATCCGCGGCTTCTCGTATTATATATATAGTATATATATATATAATATACAATTATATATTATAGTATATATAATTATTACTATAATTATAGTATTAATATATATAGTGTTAACGTAAAACACTGACCAATGAGCGGCCATCTCGGTCCAGTTGCGCCGATTGGCTTGGTTGCGCAGCGCTAAGCGAACTCGTCTCTCATTGGTCACCGTTTCCCGCGAATAACTCGTAAACAAGACAACAGACCGCATTTTCGCCAAGGGAAAAGTTACTTCAAATGACTTCAGGAACCCCTGATTTCCCGGAACTACCATAATTTTGGACACCGTGTATGCGCGCGTGTACGTAGATCGATTGGCCGGGTTGGACGAAACACCGTAGAATCAAAGTTTGTTAATATAATTTATTGTATATCGAGGTTTCAACATGGAAAAGTACAAATATTGCAATATAGGGCCCACGAGCTCTCCTCGGGTGGGAGGGAGGGAGGGAGGAGGGTACAATTTCACAGGAAGGAGAGACAACGCACGGTAAGATACTTCGAGACTCGTTTTCTTTTGTTCGTAATTCATTTTCGTTTTTTTCTTTTTTTCGGTTGTCCGGAATGAGTTTCGAAACGGAGAAATACCAAGAGTGTGTATGTGTGTATGTGTGTGTGTGTGTGTGTGTGTTAGACAGATTCAATGCATTTCCTCTGTTCGCGTGTTTGTTCCTCGTCGTTCGTTTTGCCTGACACAGTGTTTAGGGAAACAGTGGGACGAATCGAGCAAACGAGTCGTCCAGATTTCTCTTGAGTAAAGGAAGGTTCCCTCCTCTCCACGGCCCCCGCATATATTTAATACTCGTTTTGTTTTTTTTTTTTTCATTTTTCGCTGTTACACCGATACGCACGTGCGCGTCATGAGGCGACATGTGATACACGCGACGCGCACGTGCATGGGCGAACAGCTTGTTACTCTCTTTTTTTTTATCATCATCATTATCATCATCATCATCATCATCATTATCATCAACATCATCATCTTCATCATAATCATAATCAGCATCATTAGCATCATCATCATCATCATCATCATCACCATCTTCACTTTCTGTTCCTTAACTAAACCGGCCGCCCCTGCAGTCGTGATCGCTCGAGCTGACCGTGTCCCCCGCCCGATTCGTCGATCAGAAGAAACGACCCATCCGAAACAAAAGTAGTCCAGCCCTTCGCTCCCGACGGGCTAACCTACTCGGTTCTTCGATTCGTCAAAAAACTCGTTACATCAGACAGTTGCTACTTACTCGTTAACTCGACGTGTTTGTGGGCGGATATGATTTGACGATTCGCGGATTCGCGGACACCGACGAATCACGAGGGATCTCCACACGCTTTCGTCCGGTGTTCTAGACCGGGAGAGGGGGCTGGTATTTCGCTTCGAAACGATTGCAATATCGTTGCGCGCGCGAGACGTGTCCGCGAATCCGCGAACCGTTTAATTACAATAACTTTTAGAATCATCTTCTCTCTGAATAATCGTCGTCTCCATCGATCGATCGTCTTAACATTTCTTCTCACGACCATCGACGAATCGCGGCCAAAAATATTACATCGAAGCACCCTTGGTTTACCGTTTCGTTACTACCCCCTTTCATCCCCGAAAAACTGCTTGCCACCCCCCCCTTCCAACCCCAAAATAAAAAAAAGAAACAACTTTACCACGGTCGAAATAATCGACCTCGATCGACGAGCGTTCCACGGCTGCATCGAAGCGCCTTTTATCTCATTCTTTCTCTCTCTCTTTCTCTTTCACTCTCTTTCTTTCTTTCTTTCTCTCTCTCACACTCTCTCTCTCTCGCGCGCACGTTCTCTCCTCTACTCTCGCTCCCTTTTCTCTTTTTCTCTTGCTTTCTCGCTCCCTTTTACACGTCCTCTCTCTCTCTCTCTCTCTTCTCACTATATTCTAAATCGCTCCTTTTCTTCTTTTGGGAACATATTGTGCCTACCGTTGTTGCCTGTTCATCATCCGGTTGTAATCACTACCGTAATCATTGCCACAATCATCACCAAACATCGTCGTCGTCGCTCTTCGCAATTTAATCGCCGAAAAAATTTCGTCATCATCATCATTATCATCGTTATCATCAACATCATCATATCGTCGTCATCATCATCATCATCACCATCATCATCCTCATTATGATCATCATCCTCATCATCTTATCATCATAATCATCATTATAATAATCATCATAATCATCACCATCATCATCGATTCGCGTCTATTGCTTCATTCATACTCTCCCCCTTTCTCTCTCGCTCTCTCATATTCTCGTATTCGCTTCTCATTCTCTCTATTTCTTGCTCTCGTCCTTTCATTCTCTCTCTCTCTCTCTCTCTCTCTCTTTCTCTCGTTCTCTCTCTCTCTCTCTCTTTCTCTCGTTCTCTCTCTCTCTCTCTTCCTTGTATCAACTTCGGAATTTTCATAGTTATTTTTTTTTTCTTTTATGCAACACATAATGCGACTAGGTAGTACAGGTTAATTAATAATTAATATCGTTAGTTATACAATAATAACGTATGACTAGACAATGCAAGATAATAATTATATCATAAATATTAATAATCATGGATCGCAATTTATATCAACAATTGTGATGGCGCGCACGTGTTGTCGAAAATGTTGTTCTTGTTTGTTTATGTTCTTTTGTTGTAGTAGTAGTAGTAGTAGTAGTAGTAGTAGTAGTAGTAGTAGTAGTAGTAGTAGTAGTAGTAGTAGTAGTAGTAGTAGTAGTAGTAGTAGTAGTAGTAGTAGTAGTAGTAGTAGTAGTAGTAGTAGTAGTAGTAGTAGTAGTAGTAGTAGTAGTAGTAGTAGTAGTAGTAGTAGTAGTAGTAGTAGTAGTAGTAGTAGTAGTAGTAGTAGTAGTAGTAGTAGTAGTAGTAGTAGTAGTAGTAGTAGTAGTAGTAGTAGTAGTAGTAGTAGTAGTAGTAGTAGTAGTAGTAGTAGTAGTAGTAGTAGTAGTAGTAGTAGTAGTAGTAGTAGTAGTAGTAGTAGTAGTAGTAGTAGTAGTAGTAGTAGTAGTAGTAGTAGTAGTAGTAGTAGTAGTAGTAGTAGTAGTAGTAGTAGTAGTAGTAGTAGTAGTAGTAGTAGTAGTAGTAGTAGTAGTAGTAGTAGTAGTAGTAGTAGTAGTAGTAGTAGTAGTAGTAGTAGTAGTAGTAGTAGTAGTAGTAGTAGTAGTAGTAGTAGTAGTAGTAGTAGTAGTAGTAGTAGTAGTAGTAGTAGTAGTAGTAGTAGTAGTAGTAGTAGTAGTAGTAGTAGTAGTAGTAGTAGTAGTAGTAGTAGTAGTAGTAGTAGTAGTAGTAGTAGTAGTAGTAGTAGTAGTAGTAGTAGCAGTAGTAGTAGTAGTAGTAGTAGTAGTAGTAGTTGTAGTAGTAGTAGTAGTAGTAATAGTAGTAGTAGTAGTTGATGTTGTTGTTGTTGTTTTGAAATAATCGTTATGTGTGCGTCTCTGTGTGCGTGAATGGCCTCCCTCGTGTGTGTGTGTGTGTGTGTACGCGTGTCCGTATGCGTGTGCGTGTGTAGTGTATGCATGATGTACCCTAGATGGACGTGTAACCGTGACTTTGCGTCGACAATGATCCTTCGTTCGCTTTTTTTGTGTCACACGCTTCGCTTCCTTATTTTCTCTTTCTCTCTCTCTCTCTCCCTCTCTTTCTCTCTCTCACTCTCTCTCATTCTCTCTCTCTTTCTCTGTATTTTCTCTTTCCCGGAAGTTTGGGGCGCGAATTGAGAATTTCTCGTTCGCGTGTTCGTCGGCCCGCGTGCACCCATTTCCGTGTACACGGCGTAGAAAAGGGTATACTGCGAAGAAGATAACTATATTCATCTATAGATTCTCGATGCATTCCTGATTCGTTGCCCCAGGATCGTGAACGGATCTCGCCTCCATCGGAAACGACAGAATCGACGAAAGAGGTCGAAGAGGTCTGTCTCTACGAAGAGGAATGTCTCGCCGGAATGAGAAGATCCGAGAACACACGCCTCGCCTCCCCCCTCCCCAGGTCGTTGTTTCCGCGTGAAAAGAATTGCTGCGATGCTGTTTCCCACCGAGGACACGTGCACGCGTCTGTCGTCGACAAAATACGAGGGCGTCCCCGCCGCGAGAGTCTTAACTCCGCGCATGCGCGGCGTATTTCTTGTTCCGTCCATTTTTCGTTTCGAGTCAACCTCGAATTTTCCCGGCAACTCTTTCCGAAACAAACGATCGTTGCTTTTTTTTTCTTAGATTAAACGATACGCGAAGCGATTATCGCGATCTCGACACTGAACGTTTCGCGAGTTCTCTTTCCTTGGCGGATCCGTAGCCGAGACAATTCGGGCGATTCGAGCAATTCGAGGTTCAACTTGCAACTGTCAAGAATACGTGAAATGTATGTGCTGTGTGTGTGTGTGTGAGTGTGTGTGGGTATATCTTTCGTTCTTTCTTTCTCTCTTCCACGTTCTCTCTCCCTGACTTTCCATGTGTGTGTGTGTGTTTGTGTGTACGTGTGCACGCGCGTGGTTATGTGCGTGTGTAGAGGAAGCTTTTTGCTCTGACCTACATATTTCGAGTCGGTAAATCCCGATAAATCTCTTAAAAAGCACGGTCAGTAGATCGATGTGTTTGGTATTTACGTATCTCAATCGCTGTCGGCGCGGTGTCGCGGTGTCGCGGGATGCTTGAAAAACGTTTCACGTGACAAGCATACATACACATGTACCGTAAATGTAATATAATGCAATACAATACAATATAATGTAATGTAATGTAATGT